CTGAGCGGGACACGTGTTTCTGAACGTGATTTCTTGACCGACATGTTGTTGTTCTAGCGTTTTCAAGAGATGCACTATGAAGATGATGGTGGTCAAGCGCGTTAGACTAAGAAAGCAGCAGAAGATTACGCCAGGCGGAATTGGCAAGCCAGTCACGAATAGCCGCTGGCATGTTGGTCTCACCAGGTCCAGCCGCCGCATGCAAAAATGACAGACTCTGGAATGGTCCAGCCGAGCCGGTGGGGGGGCCAATACAAAGGTCCCATGGGTCATTATCTTTTGAGCCAAGATTAGATACATCCGGAAATGTTGGCCAACCGTTGACGCTAATCCCCGAAAAAGTGCCAAAAGAGAAGTACTCAAGTGCTCGCACTGTAGGTACGTACACTCCACCCCTAAACACCACACAGACCATCACCAATGCAAGTCCACCACGAAAATACGCCAGAGAGCAACAAATATCACCCAGGCAGAGCCAGAGAGCATCAATACTGACCTGGAAAGTAATATTAGAGGTATGATAGGTCTTCCATTACGGCGTTTGTGGCATGGATCTTGGGAAGAGACTGTACCGGATTGAGCCCGAGGGTGGCTCGGTTGGCGCTCTGGCTTGCCGTCCCCTCATTCCTTATTTAGCCCTCCTTTTCCTTCTGTCTTCAAGTATTTCTTCACGAGAAACTTTAAATACCCGTACCAGTCATCTGAGCCAGTTGTCAAACACACCCGCTTGGGCGGTTGGACCGAGTGAACTGTCCATACGCATTGCTAATTGGCAATATCGTGTCGGGAATGGCTTTATATGTACTTATGCTGCTAGGAATTGCTTGATTTGTACGTCTTGTTCTGAAATGCTGTTGATTTCGTTGTTGTACTGCTCGAGTTGAAGATGTAGGGATCTCCACACAACTTTTCAATTGGAAGGGGGACACGGACGTAAAGTGTGCAGGGTGAAATGCTACAGTGCGAGGGGTATTTCTCCCAAAGGACGGCGAGAAATTTCCACCCGCAACTGCGTACCTCTCCTGTTTAAGATGCTCATCTGCATGCCTTGAGCTTCATGTGACATTTTTGTAGACCTCGGTCGCCATCTGCATGTCCACGACGTTTTCAGAGTCTCTTTCCACGCAAAGACGGGCAATAGCTTTCGTTGGCGCACTCTCAAGGAGTCGTCGACTGTACCGCCGCTCCCTCTCTCCATGGACAGTCTGCATCGCATGGAAGATGACTTTACGGAAGATATCTTCCTCCAAGACGGTCTTTGCCCAACCATCGCAGAACATGCAACACAATGCAACTCTCTTTTCCATAAATACATGGTTGCGCCAGAAATCGTGCCAGATCCTACTCTCATGGATGACCAGCTGGCACGCTTTACACTGTGGGCATCAAACATGGATGTTTACGGACCGCTCAATGTTTCACTGGACTACAGGCTCCGATTCAGTCCCATAATCGTGGACATCATACATCAGCTCCTGGACCTTATTTGCGATACCTTGAGGTCTTGTACGTACTTGTCGCACCAAATTCGGATTGGTTGAACGTCAAGTTTTCTATGTTAACGGGCATCTCAACAACAGTGAAGCCAATCCATGACCCACCACAGACTCCGAGCAGAAAAAGACAACGCATCTCAGAACACGGCGATTCCGAAGTCACAAGGAGAGCCGAAGACAATTCGAGCGATTCGGAAAGTGACGTGGATCAAGCAGAAAAGAACTTCTTGAAAATCACTGATACAATTGGCGGAACAGTGACACGGCTGTTTCGTCTCTCCAATGCTGTTCGAAAGTCCGCAAAAGCCAACCGGGCTCGCAGAATTGAAAGATACCAAGACGATGGAGAAGCTAATAACGCCATAACCGAGTTGCGTCTCTACACAGAATGCTACATTCGTTTCCGATATCCCATGGCGCCGGATTCGCTTCGCTCGGCATTGGTCGAAGCCAACGCGCTGCGACTTCGACGGCTGTGTTATCAGCGCTCCCATCGAAGGCGCATTGATCTGAGTATCCGGAGCCCGGAAACGACTCCGGTCGTTGTTCGACTTCCCAAAATGATGGGGAGTGCGCCGGCTGTACATTTTGCGCCGAGCGCGTTGCCAAAGCCTGCGACGACCAACAAAATGCCGGCCCCTTCGCCAGCGCCAGCAACGAATGCGACTACTGCTCGACAAACCGCCGTTGCGGCCTTCTACGCCAAATCCACAACTGAGGTTCCCCGGGCTAAATCTGTTCTCGTGAACAACAAGTTGTCGTTCCCTCCCATACCGCCGACGCAGCAGTGTCCATACTGCGGCGTCATTGTTGAGTTCAAGAACACTGCAAGGTCATTGCTGTGGCAGTAAGCAGATCGTTCTTGTCGTTTCATGGGAACTTCTGGCTAATATGCACCAGAAATCATGTTATCGGAGACCTAGAGCCTTTTATTTGTGTTTTTCCACGCTGCCTGGAAAGTGGTCACCACGGGCACGGGACCGGTCCGCTCACATTCGAATCGTCGAATGCCTGGTCCAGCCACATGCAGACTGCTCATGGGCATACATGGGAGTGCAGGGCCCCTTCTCACGATCCAATCGTCTTTGATCAAGAGATCCAGTACCAGGAGCATTCCATCAAGGAGCACGGCGTGCCTGAAGCGCACGCCGGGACCCTCAGCAACGCCGCACGGAGGCCAGTCCTCGATAGGGTGCTGGAATGTCCATTTGGAGACGAATTTCAACCCTTGGGAAAGGTCGAATCCAGCGCTGTCTTCTCGAGTGAAGCTCTCCAGTCACACGTCGCCCGTCATATGAAAGAAATTGCTCTGCTTACACTGCAAAAACTTCCCAGCGATGATGACGAGAACGCCGAGAACGTCGATAGCGACCAACCGTTAGAAGATGATGGGCCGGCCGGGACTTTTGGACTTACACGTGCATCCATGTACAGCGTACTGGACGACGAGGACCTGGATTTCCAAGACGATGACGCTGAGGTTGCAGATGGCGATGTGGGACACCGCGAAGACGACATCAGTGCACGGGTGACAGTACTCGACCTAGAAGACAAAGATGACTTGGGCATGACGAAGCTTCACCACGCGGTGCAGGCCGGCGATCTGGGCTTGCTTGAGTCCTTCATCCAGAGCGGCGCAAGTGTAAATTTTAGAGACGAAAATGGCCAAACGCCCCTACATTACGCTGTGGAGAGGGGCTTCATCGAGTGCATGAAAGTCTTGGTCAAGCACGGTGCGGATTTACATATCGTTGACAACTCTGGATTTTCCCCGTTTCTCTGGGCTGTGGTTGCCGGGCAAGAAGGCGTCACTACGAGATTGTTGTTCATGGACGCTGATGTCAATTCATTCAGCGCAGATGGAAAGTCTGCGCTCGCTTGGGCAGCCAGTCTGGGATGGTCTCCGACTGCTAAAATGCTTGTTGAACATCGTGCCAGCATATCTGTTACCCGAAATACGCAGCAGACTCTGCCTTTGGAAGAAGCGGCAGCTTCTGGCAACCTTGCCACTGTTCGATTGCTGCTCGAATGTGGTGAGGATCCGAACCATCGTGATCGCGATGGTTGGTCCGCGATACATTGGGCAGCAGAGGAGGGCCATCTAGAGATTGTGCGTTTGCTGCTGAATGCTGGGGCCAACCCCAATGCTGTCAGCTCTTACGGTACGTCACCACTTCACTGCGCTGCAAACGGAGGCCATGTTTCCATTGTGAGCTTGCTCCTCCTTCAGGGAGCCGACCCATTCAAATCAACATGCCACGGCTGGACTGCACTACACCACGCCGCCTTCATGGGCCACTCCCACGTCGTCCAGGGCCTCTTGGAAGACGACCGCATACGATCCACTGCCTCTCAGCAGGACAACCACGGCTGGTCCGTTCTTCATTTGGCCATCCACAGTCGAGATCTAGCCACTGTCCGTATCCTGCTCGACAAATCTGTCATTGCAGAGCCTCAGACCCTATTCGACGAAAGCGGCCTCACTGCAGAAGAATGGCTGGATTGCGGGCCGACAGGCCATTCCCAGAATGCCGCCACCAACTTGGCGTTCAGCAAGTCGCGCTGTTGCCGGGCCGTCACAAGCCTTCGCCAAGCTGTTACCATAGGCAACGTCCCCATGATCAAACTTCTGCTCAGATCGGGTCACGACATCAATGGCATGAATTCTGGAAGGAGGACTGCGCTCTACTACGCCGCAAAGAAGCGCATGCTTTCCATCATGGATCTGCTTCTTGACCTGGGTGCGGATCCCAACATTCTCCCCATGGGGCGGAAGAACTGGGAAGAATTCATTCCGCCTGGTGAGGTTTTACTGCGGCTTAACCGAGCAGGATACAGGATGCGAGATACCGACCCTGAGGTGGAGCGCCAGATTCGTCAGGCACTTAGAGTGCAAAGTCGACCGTTTGTGCCGCATCAGCCAGCCTGGTTCGTATCGAACGAGTCAACTTTACCAATGCCGGACCAATCTGTCTCCCATGCGCCGGTCCGACCGTCCTCATCTGTTCCAGCTTCGTCAAAGCCACCTTTTTCGGATCATGCAGGTTCAAGTAAACCGGCACGCTCGCCGGCGCCTACACACCAAACAAATGACAATAAACGCAAGGCAAGGTCAGGCCGGACGGATTGGTGGAAACGGCTCATAGGTGGAAGGTAGCGACCTCGGTCCGCCCCCAAAGGCGACAGTGAGGAGCGACAGTTAATAACTGTAGCAGCGGCTTCGATTAGGTAGATTCGAAACTTGCGGATAGGGAGACCTTCGAGCAGAAAAAAAAGGGAAAACAATTCTAGCGCTCATGTCTGTGAATGAAGGGTCAAAGGTTCATTTAGACGCTTTCCCTGTAAATGAACGTCCTTCGACTGGGAGCTTTTTTAAAATTAGTCCATAAGACAACACGTAAAGCATGATTATGAATATAGGCTCGAATTTTCCTTGTGACTTAGCTCTGCCACTTCTCAGGCAGGAGTATTACGCAATGCTTTATGAACGAATGGTGCGATTCATCATATGTCCGACTCCCGGCAAGGACTGCAGATGCTGTTCCACTCTTTGTCTCGGTGCGCCCCTAGGTAAGACTGCTTCCCAAGGATCAGGCACTCCACAAAGGTCTTGCAAGCCCGCTTCTGCAGCGATCCCGGAGGTTCCTTCGCTATCAACGCCCCTATTCCATCCGGGATGGCCTCACCAATCAGCCACCGGTGAGCGGTGGCATTCTCCTGGCAGAGAATCAAGCATGCTGCCGAGGGTACGTTGAGAAAGCGGTCCTGTCCCTTCTCATGGGCCTGTTGGGCAAACTGGAAAATACTGGTCAGAAAGAGACGTAATATTGCAGAGTCGCGACTTTCACTGATGACGAATAGCTCATTGGCGCACGCCTGATTCGCATCGCTGAACAATTCAACCTCTGCCGATGTATCCTTCGCAAAGAACTCCGCGATAACCCGGGAGAAATACTCGATCAGCCCTGGTTCCTGTTTGTCGATCATGGCGAAGTGGCCCGTCATGAGTAGGGCCGTCCGAAGTACGTTCTCTTCCCGATTTCCACTCCGAACACATCGAAGTCGCTCAAAAACCCCGCATGCCGAAGTGGAAGAACACCAACGCGTCCCTGTCGCAGGCGATGGCGGCCCAATCTGAAATTGCCGCAGCTGTGGTGGCATCTCCTTCTCTCCATCCGTGTCGGACAGCCGCGAGTTTCGTTCCCATGCCGGTGAAGACCGTGATGGCCAGCAGTGCCTGAATATCTCTAGGCGCACCTTTTGCAAGAAGAGGCTGAAGGCCATGGGCGACCTGTCGACGCAAAAAAAAGGGGGGTGTTTTGCAAGATCTGCGTCGACAGGTCGCCCATGGCCTTCAGCCTCTTCGTAGTTCTGTCGACAACCAGCCCCCAAGAAGAACACATGGTACAGTTTCCCCCATTCTCGCAGTTCGTCCGTTTTGTTCTCCTGGACGAGCTCCTGCAGTACAGACAGACTGTCCCAGCGGTTCAACGCCACAAACTTAAGATAAGAGGGACATCAATTCAAGAACGAGGGGAAAGCGAAGGAAAAGGCCCAGCCCTTTCATGACCAGGTCGACAAATCGCGACGAACGCCTGAAGCGTGCGAGGAAGACCTGCTCCTGGAGCCCAAGTAGCTCTTTGACACGCTCGTCCACCGGGCCCGGTTGTCCCCTCATGGAAGCAACTCCCAGAAGAGCTGGCAATTTGGCCACGCGCGCTCCGTGCTCAAGTAATTCCTGCGGCATTTCTCTCGAATTCGCCAGAATGGTTCGGATCAACGGCGTGTCCGTGTCGCCATGCTCCGCCTTGGCCTCGAGACGGGCGCCGTGTTCGAGCAGCACAGACATGACGTCACTGTGCTGTCCGGTGACCGCGATATGGAGTGCCGTCAACATGCTTCGATCTTTGAAATTGACACGCGCACCATGGTCAAGCAGCAGTTCCACCATTTCTCGGTGACCTTGATTGACGGCCCAGGACAGCGGCGTCCGGCCGTAGTTGTCCTTTCGCGAAATGAGGCGGGAATGCTTGCTGATCAACAACTAGGCCCAGGGTACGTTGCCAAAATATCCCGCGAGATGCAAAAGTGTGAAGGAGGGCGGGCTTCCGCCGTTCTTCTCCTGCTCCAGTAGACTTTCCGCCATTCGTCCCGGATTGGAGAGTCGTCTTGGAAGAATGGACGCGAGAACTCGGATGGTGCATCGATCACATGAATGGCGTTGGTGGAAATGCACCGGCCAGTACTGGCTGGCATAAGATAAGAAGGGATCGAGGCCAGACATTTCGTGAATCCTTCCGGAATTTCCGTATCCGCGTTCTACATGTGCTAGACAGGTCTGCATGGAGGTCTGCATGAGTGGGTGTCTTGGCTCATATGGAACATATTAATCCCTTTGATGTTGACTTGATCGCTCTGGAAGAACTCCTTCGCCGATTCGTGAACCAGGTTGACGGCATCTCCTTCGACCTTCACGAGCAACCCGCCGAACCTGAGCCGATCCTTGGTCACTTGAGTTGCTGGAAGAGTACCAGCCGTCTTGATCCCTGCGGCCACGGTCAATTCGTCCACTGTGAGGGGCCGGGCAGCGAGAACGACCCATTGAAGAATGGGGACCGATGCTTCCTTGTCGCTGATCTGCTGAAGAAGCCGTCGATAGATCCCACCCAGGCCTTTAGGAACATGGCGGAGAACTTCATCAATTTTGCACCAACTCCTGCCCTGAAGCTCATTGGCCACGAATCCAACCAACAGAAAGGTTCCATCAGCGCCAGCCAGCAAGGTCTGCTGAACCTGCGCGACCATCTCTTCGGGAAGGGTTTTGCTCGGATGCCAGTTCTGCAACTTTGGCGAAGATGTATCTCTCTACATCATGCGAAATTTCTGTGTCGGAGATGTCGAACTAGATCTGCTGATGTTGGCCGAGTTTGCTCTCCAAAACAGCCGGCTGAGGTCGGGAGAGGATGATGAGCTGCAGTCGTGGCCTTACCTTTTCCCCAGACTTCGACAAGTAATTGTCAACGGCGTCGAGAAGCTGCCTGAGTGGTTCCTTTTCGCATTCATCTAGACCGTCCAGAACGCAGACTACCTGGGAAGACGTGCTCTGCTGAAGTAGGGACAGGAAAACCCCCCACAACGAGACAAAACTAGAAATGGTATATTTGGTTGTTTCCGTCCCTTCGAAGGACTTCTTGATATCTTTGACCAGATGCGGATGGAGGTCGATCCCTTGATACAGGATACCTCTCTTAATGGTCAATGCGTTATTCCGATTCTTGTCGCGGTTACTGCAGAAGTAGTAGAGGAGAACATTGTCGGCGGCGTCAGCAACTGGCTGTAGCACCTCGGTGATATAAATCGCCAGCATTGCCTTCCCTTTTCCAGGGCCACCTGAGATCCAGAGGAGTGGGTAGCTTGCATGCAACTGTGTGACCACGCAACCCGTACTTCGGATACGCCACAACGACACTGTGGCCTTGAAGTCTCCCGAGAATGTAGTTACTGTTGTGGTCTGAACTCCGATCTGGAAATGGATTGTCATTGACGCGATCAAGCGTTGTTTTGGCTGCGGCGACCTCTATAGGCAGTGCGCAAACCCACCCGACTGTGTAGTCGTCACGGGACGCTATCTCCGGCGGGGGCGCAGGTCAAGAAATGAGAGACTCCAGGAGCGTCGGTACCGAGGCGTTGCGCTAAGTATGTCGGAGCTCTGGACTGTCTGTCCATTCTTGGGACGAGGTCGACTTTCCAGTACATTGCGGTGTTGCGCCCTTGATCCATGGACTCAATGTGTTCGGCATGCCGCAGATGATGAGAAAAGCTTTTCCCTATACTCTGGCAAAAGCAGGCTTCCTTCTGTCTGGGACTTCGTTTTATGCAGTAAGTCTCCCAATTTCGCAAACAGGAGAGAAATTGACCCTAACACATGTGTTCTGAGACCAGGTTTCCCCAAAGTCGATATCCTGGCAAATTCGACCTACTGTCCATTTCATCGGCCATATCGGTACACCGACATGGACATGTAGAGATCATGCGGAACACTACATTCTCTTCCGCGCCAGAAGATGTCGCAGTAGCGGTTTGTCGTAGATAATCGAGACCAAGCTGTGCGTGATCAAGGCAAGTACACACGGGTGATGCATTTTGGGGCAACTTGACCTCTTTGCTAAGAATTAATTAGCCATAGCCCCCCAAAACCGACTGTTTCTCTTACCTGTTATCATCATCGAAACGCCACTGATTTGGCCGAATGTAGACATCGTATATAGTTTGGTGTTGTAGTTTTAATTCCTTCTCAGGAGCATCGTCACAGCACTTCGTATATCTTCGGATCGGGAAGAAGAATAGGTTCTGGTACTGCTTGTGCTTAATCGGTATAATATAGATTTCGCAGGCGCTAGAATGGCCATTATATGGCACCTTGAAGTAGTGAAGGGTGTTGTGTTCTGGGATTTGTGAAAGTTGCTGCTGTCCAGCTTTTGCCAACGTGTACGCATTCTGCACCTTTTCATCTTCTATAAAGAATTCAATGTCCCCTTTATGTTTATTCTGCATTTTGATAGAAAAGTAATGGTAAGAGGAAAGCATAATGAGGCTGTCGCACAACAATCAACCAGCATCTAAGTCTTATTCGGATGTGAGGATCCCATGCACCCCGACTCGGAGTGGCGTCTACGTAGACCACACCAAAGCGGGTCTATCCTAGCCAATCACAGCCCATATCACACAGCTGAAATGCAGGATCGACCGGTTGGCACAGTATCCGACAAGGGAAAAATGAGATATGAGGACACAATATGCATTGGAGATGGTACTAGATGGAGCACCTAGGCTACATATTTTCTCCGTCTTCTTGTGTCGTTTGTGATTCTCATTTCGCTTACGACGTGGAGGTGATAGAAAGCAAGGTCAGTTGCTTGAAGTATGTAACCACATCAAACTTCTTTATTATAAGAAAGAGCTGCATTTGACTACCAAAACCATCGGTAAGCAGCCTTGCTATCACTTTTATTACCAATATTTTGAGCATGCAGCCTGGGGCAACTTGACCTCATCGCTAAGAATTTGTAAGCCATGACCGTCAAAAACGGAGATTCAACTTCATCTGTCATCATTACTGAAATGCCACTGATTTGGCCGAATGAGGACATCGTATATAGTTTGTTAATTTATTCCTAGGAGCACGGTCACAACACTTCGTATACTTTCGGACAGAAAAGAAGAAGAAATTTGGGTACTGGGTGGACTTAATTGGTACAATGAGGATTTCGCAGCGCTGTAGTGATTGTTATGTGACACCGTGAAGTAGTAAAACGTCTTGCGTTCTGGGATTTGTGGAAGTTGCTGCTGTCCAGCTTTTGCCAATATGAATCCCTCTTTTACCCGAGCTTTGTCTATAAAGACGGCATTGCTCCCTTGATGTTCATCCTGCATTTCGAGAGAATAGTAGTGGTAGGAGGAAAGAAATATCCAAGCTGTCGAACATCTGTCATCCAGTTCTAATTGGTCGTTCAAAGGTGAGGACCCTTGTGCACCGACCTGGGAGTGGCGTCGTGGGAGGACCCGCTTTCCTGGGGTAAAATGGTTTTACCCCAGCAAAGCGGGTTTGTTCCATCCCATAATGTGATAATCGCTTTGGGCGCCGATTTTGTGCTGTTCCATCGCAGCCTGATCACACGCCTCAACTGCATGTTGGTCAGGCAACCTTTTACTTGATCTGAATCCAATGTAAGAGCTGAAAGCTATAGATTCTCAACGGCGTCGCTCCCCTGTGCAACGCATTGGCAATTTTCATATTCAAGTTTTTGCTGCAGATGACGAAAAAGAGAAGAGGAGACGGGAGGGAAAGCAGTAGTCATACTTTTGGGCAAGAAGTAGGTACGGAAGTTGACATGAAAACACGAGCGAATTGGAAGGAAGACCTCAACAAAGATCAATGGGTTTATATCATTACTCCGAGGAAAGAGGCGGTCAATGCAATATGGACCTTGAGAGCCAAGAACCTGGCACGGCGGTGATTGGAAACATAATCTGCTTGCGTCAATAAGGAGTGTCCGTTATAAGTTTACACGAGCTGTTAAGCTACAATATAAAGCGGTCTCTAGCTTTATCGACAATGGCACTGACAACCACCTTTCCTTGTCATCTTTCTTCGCTCCGTTTCACGGTAGTTATCATGTTCACCGTTGGCGCCGGGATCCAATGGCATTCCTGGCCTTGGCAGTGCCCAGATGATACCTTAAAGGCCAGAGTCCTACAAGATGAACTTCGACAGCTTGAGAATGAAGAGGCCAGAATAGTGCTATGGGCACAAAATCACTTGCAAAATAGGTCTCTACAAGAAGGGGATCTACAAACTCTGGCGAAATTGTCCTCAACAATTGCTCATGCCAAAAGGGACATCCTGGAGCAGTATCAATGTAGCAAATGGGAGCATTACACCACTGTCTACAAGGCACTTGCCTTATCGAATGACACGGCAGTCAACGCCTCAAGACCCGAGGTTACGGTTTGGCGGGCGTATACAAAACCTTTCGAAGCACCAAAATTTATTCGCCACGTTAACATTGGTCTTCTGAATGCATTCGAGGCTCCCTACAACTCAGCCGATATTCCAAGACAGCCACAATCTGGAACGGTCTATTTGACACTAATAGGTCTGAATATATTCCGGCCGTCGTTATGTTCCCTGGTCATTTTGAAGGACCGTTCTCAATTGATAACACAGAGCATTTACGTCTGTTGGATGATTGCTGCTCCTATAACCCAAAATCGAACACCAAAACCTGCTCACGGGGACCAGGCACACTCTATCCTATTCTCTATTTTGATAAAGAGGACCCAAAACACCGGGAAACTGGTTGGAAGTTGGCAAGGGATCTCACACCGTTGGATTCTAGCATCCTCGTACCGGTTCCTTACCAAAGGTTGATATCGCAGTATATCCAAACATACGGCTCTGATGAGAACGAAACTAGAACGAAACTCGTACGGAAAGCTCATTGGCTCCAATGGCTACACCTAACCAGTGCGAGACTGAATTAGAATATGGAAAACCATAGATCGGGAGAGAGGGAATCTCTCAACGAAAGCCCATCAGGAAACACGATGTGCCACGAAGGTGATGGACGTCTAGTGATATCACGATTGGTAGACGACGAAAGCCGATACGAAAGCTGATGAGGCCGGAAGATTCTTCTGGGAACCGGTGTGAGACATGCTAGAGTGCTTCACCGACTGTCACACTCTGTATTCCCAGTACATAAATGGGCTATGCCCTGTGTAGTAAGTTCTTTACCACTTTAATCTACATTTATTGTTCTACTGGAGACATATCACAAACGAAGCATTCATTCATCACATTAAGCAACGGAACGGTATGGTTAGAGGGAGTCTTCTTTTTAATGACCTTGTGGACCCAGATAACTCGGCATCTGCAAGTACATCATAGCGAACACCCTAGCTTATATGTGTCGTCATGGGTGTGATCAAATTTTGTATGTCAAGTGGTCACAGCGCACCGTCTGCCAGGTGGAATGCTCGGTGCAGAAAACACCCTTAGAATTAACCGGTGAACAGAGGTTGGAGGAAACGGACCTACGGTTCAATGGCCGGCCGGGCGCATCGCAGTTGGCATCGGGGTAATCTATCACCTATCGTTTTGTGACGTAGAAATCAGGGGGAATAATAAGGCAGGGGTAGCTTTGTCATTTGTACTTCAGAAAAATATTACGTCATTCGATATAACCCCAGGCCCTACATGTTCTCACAGACAGATCATTCTCGGTCATTCTGGAGGGTAAGGCAAAACTTTGCTCTATAAATGGACAGAGCCTTGAACTGGTAACAGCCAAGAACGGCGGGGACAACTGCAGGAGTCCGGAAGTCACTACGGAAAGCATAGCCAAGGAATAGGTGCAGTCATGTGTCATATTTTGTGACTATAGTGAGATTCTAGCTTAGTTTAGCGACGAAAAAAATGGTATGATGCTGGTTCGCTACTCTTTCACGTCTTATGTATTTTGAGGAACCATGGTCTATTCTCTAGATGCCACGGAATATCTGAGCAAAAGAATTCTGAGTTGGTTCCCAGCTTAAAGCCCAACCGATACCCGCTGATGGTACCCAGGATATTGTCCTGCTTATTTGTTTTCATAATGCATACGTCATTCTATGTTAGGCCTATAATGTGTCATGCATTTGGTAGCAGTCCTGAAGCTCTCTCTGGAACAAATCACGTTGAATGTCTAGCCATGGCAAGGTGGCTGCATGCATCGCATTTTGTGTCGGATTTTAACAATCATTTTGCCTCATCTGGTAGCCTCATTTACCAGGTCACAGTAGGGCAGACATGGCGGCTGCAGTATTGAGTGTCATACACGGTAGTCGAGTACAAATTGGGCTGAGTGTGTAGGACGGGATAGACATCCAGTTCTTGGACTTCGACATGCCTCTTTCTAACATTGGCATTGCTTTATCCTCAAAATGAATGAACACTACTGCCGCGACTACACAGTGGAAAATACCTGCCCCTCGTAAGTTCATCTCTGAAATAATCACTTGCCTCTATGGAGTAAGACCACTCCATTTGGCCTTGTTCCTATATATAATGCCCATCGATTCCCGTCCCTGGATTCATAATCTGCTTTCCACGAGACTTTAACTTCTCTTGCCATAGGGTCTATGAAGTCTCTGCAGTCAAAACTTGTGAATACAGCTTCAATCTTTCATATTTGGTAAGATATTATTTGCCTCTCACAGTTATCATTGTTACCCTCGAATACTGTTCTAAATTGCGCATTTCACCCTCATAGAGAGGACAGTTTCCATAATGGGACATCACTCCAAAGGCAAAGATAAGGCTTCCAAACGGCTACCGGACTCTTCCAGCAAAGTTCAAAAACTGCTGGACCAGGTGGCACAAGAACAAGCCAGATATGACCAGTACTACAATGAGTACGCCGACAACGCACAACGAGCAACGGCATACCAGGAGCAACTTGACGTTGAACAAGGCCAATTAGCACAATTGTCTGATAGCAGTGATGCAGCGCAAAGAGCCCGGGGTTATGTTGGGGACCCCGAAATGGGACCTGAGCAAGAGGCATACAGGAGGCACAATAGGCGCGCCGATTTTGAAAGAAGTATCACAACACTACAAGATTCGATTCAACATTATAACCGCAAGGCTGAGAGGGCGTCGAAAAAATGCTCTGAGAAACAAAAAGAGATAGCTGATTTGCAGGCCAAGTTGCAATCCCTGGCGGCAAATCCTACATTTGACACTGACAAATGGTTCATCCCGGGAACTGATAGGCATCCCGACTTTGACGAAGACGGACCAACTGGCAGTGTCAGCTGGGCCGGTGCAGGCCCAGCATACTAGTAATGTTGCAATGGTGGAACGGTGGAGCTTGTTGCGCCGCGGATCTACATCCCTTCCTTCGTACAAAATCTCGACGTAGCAAGCTGCCTTGGTGCAGAAGCGGAAGGTGGCAATCGACCCTCTAGTCGGGTTTCATCGAGGTTCATTTCTTCAATTAGAATGATGCATCATCTTGTTACATGAGTCTAGCTATTAGGATTGTTCAACACACCCCTACATTTGTCATTGTGAAGTTGAGATTCATTGTCTTGTGTCGGTGATGTCAGAAACCGCATTTTGCACCGTTCGTGCGCACTCTCTCATGCCACATAGTAGTATTCAGACCAAATGCATCATGCATTTAGCATCAGGGAAAACACGTTCCTGGTTTTCTTCTTGGCCATACCTCATCGAACTGCCTCTACAGACCTTCCATTCAAACGTCGGTGGTTCTGACCTCGCACATGCCCCCTTTCCCCAACAGAATATATTAGCCGGCCCACCACTATCGCAACCCTTCAAAGTCTGAACAAGGCTCCTAATGGAAGAAGCGGCTGTATTATGCACAGGTGGCGAGGATATCTAGCCAAATGGGAGTATGACTGTTGTTTGGGCGTTTTCGAAGGGCCGTCGGTATTTCTGCACACCCTCGGGGGCCTGCGGCCGACTAGGAAAATGTCACGTGGTAAAGCAATCTAGGCACACCGTTTTATCGTTGTGGCCTATAAACACGCAAACTTCCTGCTCTCTTCAAAGCGTCAACATGCAAACTGTCACCCCCTGAAACCGCATCACAATGAACAGCATCAGCAAGACTGAGGTCAATAAACGCCGCCAATACTTTATTGCGGACATCTGCAGCAAAATTGATAAATTTTGCGAGTTAGGGACGCGACATCATCCCAAGAGCCCCTCGTGTGAGCCTTTCAACCCAAATGGCCACGATGGCTTCACTAAGCACGGTGGTTTCAACCTGTGTGTTTTCATTAAATTCAAAATTTTTCCACCTGAGAAATGGGTCATACGGGTACCTTTTCCAGACAGTCCTTGGGTTACCGAAAGAATGAGCTCAGAAATAGCTACAATGAGGTACGTGGTGGACATTCTACGTCATTCAAGCTGACAAGTAGAGCAGGTATGTTGCCACCAAGACTACTATTCCGGTACCACGGGTATATGCCTACTCTCTCAGCGACGATAATATGATAAAATCACCTTTTTTGATAATGAACTATGTCGAGGGCAAAACTCTTCATGAGTTACGGTTCCAAAGAGGGAAGCGCACTCCAGACTTCCAAGTACGACAAGTCTATAAACAAATTGGCGACATTAACCTTCAACTACGCCACCTTGAATTTCCTACAATTGGAGCTTTAGGTCTGCCAGAAAGGTCTACTGAGCTCCTAAATGCCTGCAACCCCGATAGCATCGCAGTTCAAAATCGACCTCTTACTCTAAACATGGCCATGCAAGCGGCCGAGGGTTATCAGCCAGATACGATTATTGAGCAAGGAAAAACGTTCCAGACAGCTCGCGAATTTGTGGCTGCTCTTATTCGTCTTTCTGAGAACCAGTTTAATAGATCACCAGACATAGGATTGGACAAACGACGTGGCCGCTCGTTGCTCTACGCCAGGGACGCCTTCCATCGTTTTGCTTCTAAGGACTGGCTTGAAATAGATAGTCCATTTGTTCTTTTGCATGGAGATATCACTCTCCACAATAACAATATCCTTTTCAACCAGGATCTTAAAGCCGTTGGCGTAATCGATTGGGAATGGTCATTTGTGGGACCTGTCCAATTCCTCGTGCCCCCCGTCTGGTTGACGGGGTCAGGATTCGGGTTTATGCTATTAGAAGTTAACTGGTATAAACAAGAGGTGGAGCGGCTACTCTGCCAGATCAAGCACAATGAAGCCTCATTGCAAAGTACGACTTTGCTCTCTCGTCTCTGGGAAACCTTCGCTGGTCCATGCGGCACAGCAGTGGCTACGGCATTGTTACACTCGGATTATATATACGAAGCATTTTGGGGTATTTTATTTTGGGAAATTCATGGTGTGGATCGACATGCTCCTAGGTTCGAAATGGGCAAGTACTCCGGTGGGCTTATAATCCCACTTCTCGAGGATTTTATGACCCCTGATAAAACCAAGCTCCTTGATCAAAAGCGTAGAGAGCAGGACCTCTTCTGGCAGAAGGAACAAGAATTTTTTGGCATGGAGGAGAAGACTCAGTTTCTCAGTTAAATAACGGTTAGAATTGTTATGACGCAAAGACAACAAAAGAAAATTATGTTGATCTTCGTCTTAGCCAATATAGCCTGACGTTCTCACGCATCTGACTTGAAGAGTGGAGGGGATGTTTTAGAATTTCTTTACTTAGAGCTGCATCATGCACCGAAAAAGATTTGCATTTGTAGTCGATCTCCTGAGCTGTCACACAAATTTCCATTCATTACGTGAAGTGTTTTGGTATGCCCCCCCTGCCTTCTTGCTCTTGATCCTAGATTAGGGCAAGCTCATTTCGGCACAGCTTATTTTACCAGGCGGACTGGCATTGATATTGACGCCTCGGACAATACCTTTCATCCATACAAAGACATTCGTACCCTAGCAAAATATAAATACAAGAGACCTTCCGGCGCGTTTTTGACTCGGAAGTTGTGTATTTTGCATAAGTGGAGGGTCTGCAACAGAACCCATACAAAGTTCCATACGTCTCAAGTGTTGGCCAAAGGCTATAAATATGCATCGTGTAGGACTTATCAGTTGACGGACCAAGGGAAGGGCTATTGGAGCGCCTCATGAAGGGGCCAGGTAACTAAGTATTCTCCCTTCGGCTAAAATTTCTATGAGACAATATGGCTGCTCAACTTTAAGTTGCTGCGGGAAAGACCATAAAATGAGAGTACGTACGGCTGTATATAATGTCCACTAAATCCCGCTTTTTCTTGCAAGATGCTGTCAATATAGGAAATAAAATCATGAAAACTGAGTGGTGAAGTCTTCGGAAGGTTTTTTGATGTTATTATATTTATACAGAAAGAGGGAAACGAGACTAGACTCAAGGACAGAAGGCCATAATGGTCAGTCGAGTTGATCCCATACAAAGCCTACACGCATTCGATGTTACCACTACCACCTACCAACCGTTCTACAAAAGTTGCTTGCACGTTATACAAGTCTTCGTTCTTACTTGGCGACGTATTCATGCTTGATATTTTTGTGGACAACCACTACTCTACTCAGTCAAATGTGGCGAACATTGCAACAATCGAGGCCATGTCAGCTGCCTGAACCGACCACACAGTCAGAACGACAAAAACACCGTGTCAAATTCGCAATACCAACACCACATCATATCAAGTTCCACTTCGTCTGGAGGCGTCCCCTAAGTTGATTTGTGTTGAGGCACGGCGATGACGCTCCATGACCAACAATAGCAGGTCTGGCATATCCGATTCCACCGCAACTAAAACGACATTATAGTCAATATGAGCGGTCCTTCTAAGCGTTCTGGCTATAATCCGTTCATCACGACCTCGAATTGCGTGTTGGAAACAGACGCTGTTGTGAAATATGGGACTGTATCCCTTATACACTAGTAGAAGTCGAAAGGTTTCGAAGCCCCCTTGTTGCGCTGTAGCCCACAAGGCAGACTCATCAGCGTGGGGACTCACGCCGGACTTAACCAGACGAGATTCAATCGCCTGATTCCTACCCCTCGAGGCGTGCTGTGTAGCTTTAAGATCCTCATCGCCAGTAGTGTTGGCGTCCGTTGTTTGTAATTGTATTCTGCAACTACTAGTATAAGGCCTTCTCGACGTGCGCGACGGAGTGGAACATCGCCTTGCGGATATACAGCAACTTGGAAGCCCCGAAGCCGCAAGACTTCTAGTGCAACAAACTCTTTTCGGCGTTCTATCGCGTATAATAATAGATCGTTTTCCAGGATATGCTCGTTAGATCGTGCCTTTCTTGTCGAGAAGTACATGTCCATTACCTCGTCATACCCGTATCTTATCGCCCAATGTAATGGAGTCCTATCGGCCTCATTGACCTTTTCGAAATCCGAAGATCGTGCTTGGGAAGCCAATAAATCAGCAATAATAGGTCCCCCATATAA